TTAAAAAAATATATATGAAATTTATTCTTAAATATATATAAATATATCAATATATTACATTATAAATTAATTATTAAAAAAATACCTTCACAGTGTAGTCTTCACGGCGAAAAATGGCAGTCTTCATGGCAACAATAGAGGTCTTTGCGGCGTCGCTTACTCCGCTGTACAGCAGTGACGCACGGGGGTAACGGAGGTCTACACGGCATTGCTTCCTTTGGTGTACAGCAGTGGCACAGATTTGTAATAGCAATGTAGATCTAGAACAGCGATGCAGGAGATGGTAGTGATGGCGACGACAATGCAGAAACAGAGACAGATGCGCGACATAGAAACAAGCGAACAGCAAACAGCACTCAGCGGATGACGATTTGGAACAGTGACGCAGGAGATGGTGGTGACGACGGTGCAGAAACAGAGACAGATTCGCGACACAAAAGTGAACGAATAGCAAACAGTGTTTAACGAACGATGATCTGGAACAGTGAGATCTAGGTGGACGATAAACTGATACAGTGATGATCTAGAACTCGTTGGGAATGCACGGCCTCAGCAAATGAGAGAGAGAGGTTTGAAAGAAACTGAATGGGGAAAATAAAACTAACGAGAGATAGAAAAATAAAACCCGCTAGTACTCTTCCGGAGCGCTCTATAATGAGTGATTCGAAAGACTCGATCTTCTGGAGCGCTCGTGAATGAGCGCTCTGGAAGAGCAATATTTTGGAGTGCTCATTGAAGAGCGCTCTAGAAGAGCGCTCCTCAAGAGTTTCTTCTGGAGCGCTTAACTACGAGCACTTCCAAAGGTCTTTTTAAATTTTTTATAATATTTTATTTATATTAATTAGGAGCGTTATTTTATTGAGAAGCCTGCCAAACATGAGTGCTTATTTACAAAAGTGCTTTGGTAAATTCCGCATTCACATTTTAGAGCGCTTTTTAAAGAAGTGCTCCTAAATACCCACTCCTAAAGATGTATTCTGTAGTCGTGACTGTTGAAAGTCCATTTTTAGCAGCATTGTTTTTTGTCGCTATCAAAAATTATTTTTTTGTAGTCATGCCAAACATAATATGTTCATCCAATTGAATGACTCAATTAATGCAACAAACTCAGGATTTTTTAAAAGTCATATATATCAATATACTATTTAATATCATTGACTACTTGCTTCGAAATTACCATTGCTATATATTATTAAAGCACTTATATTAAATATTTAATAAGGATATAGTTGAAAAATGTAAAAAACAAAAATTAAGAGATTGAGGTTTGACATAATTGTTTTTAGAACTGTGAAAGTAATTACCAATAATCTAGTCTACGACCCTTCAAAACTTTTTCAATGACGTCATCGGCAATGACGACTTGGGAATTTGCAAGTTGCAACATTATTATAATTAAAAGGCCAGAGATCTCCCAAGAATGCTATGCACATCAGAGAGAGAGAGAGAGAGAGAGAGAGAGAGAGAGCTTTAAGCAATTAAGATGTTGGCCAAGTTGTTATTAGTTGCGTTTTTGGTTTGTGTTGAGTTATTTGTGATCCCAGAAATCTCTCTTAGCTTGCTCATGTGAAGCTATCAATCAGAATCAACTAACACAAATGGCCTCAACATGACTGAGATTCTATAAACTTCAATTGAGGTTTTAACTGAAGTTTCTTTGCGCCTATGCGCGTTAAGCCCATCAATAGATATCAACGTAAGAGGGAGAGTAACATCTAAATTCATTGAATTTCAATAGTTTAATTTTTTTTATCTTTTCAATAGTTTAATTTTAACTGATGCTGATGGAGGGGGACACGCACGCACACTTAATCACATTAAAATTCCAAAATTAAGTTAAGTGAACGGAAATACATAAGTAAAATAACAATGATTATATCGATTTGAAAATAAAATGATGAATTGAATCCCTGAAAAGCTTTTTGACCTATTCTTATTCTAAAGACTAAACATAATTGTGCCATTTTTCCACAAAAATAAAGATGCATAGACTTGACTCAAAAAGTTATCGAAAAGATAAAATGGCCTCCCATTTTTTCTTGCCACGACCTACTCGAGAATCTCTCTTTTTGAGAGGAAGGGTCCCTCACGGTAAAGACTAATTAATCTTTTCTTAGTTTACTTTGAAAAATATGTGCATTTGGAATTTCATTTTCTTTCTTTCTTTCTTTCTTTTAATAACAAAAAGTTTAGGCTGGGTTGGGTTCTATGGACTCATTAGGGGTTAAAACATGTCTCTATATTTTAAAAAATGCTTACAAAGGTACTTATAGATCTCCTACAAATAAGATTCTCATATTGATAACTGGACTTGATCTAATGATCTTGTTGGTTTTTTCAGCCAAATCCTCATTTACTGGACAAATCTCTATTGGTGAATTTCATTTTCTCGTGACCGCGTGAATGAATTATGAAAAGATGGATGAACATCTGCAATTGGTGACGGCTTTTGAATTGATATATTTGTATGATAAATAAAAATTGATAGATTTGATTTTAAATATAATTTTAGATTTAATTTAATTAAAATTTCATATTTAAAATTCATAAATTTAAATAGTGAAAACAATTTCAAAAGAAGAATAGAGATGAGCTGGGATTTAAAGCAAAAATAGAAGATTAAGTCACAAACTTACATTTATTTTTTAATCGGTGAAAGACAAGAGACGAGGAAAGAGAGAAGAGTAATAGAAACATCAAAACGAGAGAATTGAAGTAACTAGATACAAAAGAATTTGACATTACAAAAATTTTTTTAATAAAACATGGATCAAATTCATATATTTATATATCTAAATAAGAAATTTAGTTTAAATTTAAATCCAAATTCAAATTTCTTTAATCTATGAACACGTCTGATAATTTAAACAATATAATTTTCATCTACACTCGGCTCCAAATATGTTCAAATTCTTGAAAATGGCAATCTCCTCGTTTATAGAAAGTTCATAGTTTTAATTTATTGTTATATCAATGTATAATATTGATTCCTAGTTTGATTTTATTCTGGTTTTTTATATAGTAAAATAAGGTATATATTTCACTTCTATTATAAAATCACATCCATGTGTCAATTGCCTGACTCAATCTTTTGATTGCCTTTTATTTTTATAATTTATTTAAAATTTTGGATTGAATACTAATTAGGTGACGACTTATCATCTCCAATTTATAATTTTTTTAAAAAAGAAAAATACACAGTTTTGTTACATTAGCAATAAATCAATGATACTAATTTTATAACAAGAAAAATTAACTTGGCTTTGCTTTACACAATAAAAATAAATAAATTTACCAATTTGACATTTCTTACTATTTCTTTCCCGTGATAGTCGGGATAAAGTAGCTCATATTTTTTTTTTTTACCAAAAAAAAGGTAGCTGATATTTGATTCAAGATAAGAATTTGAATATTTCACATATTTTTTCTTCGTTTTTGATTTTTAGACAAACACTTAACTGCCTTCAACTCTCTCTCTCTCTCTGTTTTTTTTTTTTTTGTTAACTTTGAAAATGATGGTCACAACTCACCGATGAGAAGTTGAGGATGAAAATCACGGTACAACTGGGTCAGGTAGTCTTAACTTCACCAAACTCATCTTTCACTAAAATGTTATAAAATTGACTATAATTAAGTTGATTTTTTTAGGATTTTTGGATCGAAGTGTCATTTCCCTATAAACCTTGTTTATAAAATATGAGAAAAAATGATAACATTATTTAAAAATTTTCTAATAAAAATTTATTACTTGATGTAATCTCTAAAACAGTAATCTATCCCAATGAATGGTGACAATTGTTGATTTTCCAACTATGCTTATATGTTAGCCAAAGATAAATTTTGCAATAGAGACATTACCTCAAAAACAAAAGTCTAATCACCATTACATCAAGCACCCACCATTCCTTTTCTAGTGCGAAATTTCGTGGATGAATGCGACTCACAACTGCCCTCCTGTTTTTTTCCCCCCACAAAGTTGTCTTCTTATTTCACAAGTTTCTAAGTCAAGCTTTTTCTACATCGTGTATAAGTTAATCTTTTGATGGCCTTTTGCTTTATAATATATTTAAAATTTTGAATTCAATACCAATTAGGTGCAATGTCATTATCATGGGATTCAATACTAATAATATAGTATATTGCCAATAAATTTTGTTTTAGAAATAAATTATAAATATTAATTCAAACAATTATAATTTTAGGACTTCTTGTTGTAAATGAGGAATTTAAATTTTAAATATAATTCTGAATTTGCAATTGACATTCAAGTTTTTATAATTATTTAAATCAATATTTAGAATTTATTTTTTAGAAAATTTTGTCAGAGATCTAATTGTTATTAATTCTTTTTTAAGATTTCATCATCACTCTCCTTATTATCATCTCAAGTGTAATTAATAATACAGGAAAAACCAACTATAGGGGCTATCGTTATTTAAGCAAGTGGTTGAAGGTTTAAATTTTACTTCTTGTTTGTAGCAATTTAGTTGGAAGATGCCTACCATATTCCTCAGTTCTCAGTACCTTAGGGGATATATAATCTTTACTATTAGTAGAACCTACTCCTTATGTTATAAACAATTTTTAAAAATAAAAAAAGGAAAATACACATGTTTGCTAGATTAGCAAACAAGCTTTTGCATATTTTATTTGTTCATTATATTTTTTTTTAAGTTTAGATGAGTTGGATCTTGATGGCTCACCAGGGCTAGGTCATGCCTTTGAGTTCAATGAACCTTTATAGAGGTACTTATATATCACCCATTAATAAGGTCCTCACATTGGTAGTAGAATTTGATCCCATGACCTTTTGGATTCTGGGTCAAATTCTTACCAATTGGATTAACATTTGTTATTTTAATTAGCTGTTTCAAACTAACAATTAATTACATTGTTATCATTAGTCTTATTTTAGACCTAATGAGCCCATCACTTTCCAAAGTATATATATATATAGTGAAGTTTTCTTCTCCTTGTTCTTAAACCTAAGAAGCTTTGAGCCTATCTAACATGGGAAATCTTTGCTTTCAATTCTCCTTGATCATGTTCTTCATGCTTTGTCTTGTGGTTTGCCCGTCTTTATGTCAATCCAATTTTACCCTAGATGGCTTGGCACTTCTTGCTTTTAAATCTTCTGTAAGGGACCCTTACAATCACTTGAAAAATTGGTCCAACTCCTCATCTTTTTGCAGCTGGTTTGGTGTCACATGCGATTCTAAAAGTGAGAGAGTGACAATCTTGAGCCTTTCTGAGATGGGTCTCGAGGGAACCTTACCTTCACAAATTGGAAATCTGTCCTTCTTAATAAACCTTGAACTACAAAGCAACAACTTTCATGGCAAATTGCCGAAAGAGTTGCTTCATTTGCACAAATTAGAAAAACTAAACTTGAGTTATAATAATTTTAGTGGAGAAATTCTAACTTGGATAGGAAGCTTGTTTATGCTTAAACATTTGAGTCTTGCCAATAATACTTTTGGAGGTATCATCCCTCCAAGTATATTCAATATGTCTAAGTTGGAGACCTTGGATTTGATGTCTAATTCTATCAACGGACCTATTCCATTTGATATTGGAAGACTTCAACACCTGAAATTTTTGCGCATTTCTAGAAACATTCTTTCAGGAAATATACCTCCAACTATCTCTAACTTATCATCACTTGAACACATCTCTTTGTCTCTCAACTTCTTAGAAGGTATGGCTTGTATATATAATATGTGATATAAACATTTATTCTATCTCAAATTTGATGAATTTTTTTGTGTGCACATATATAGGCATAAACATTTATTCTATCTCAAATATTTGATATTGTTGTATTTTTTTGTGTGCATATATATATATATATATTTGTGTGTGTGTGTGTGTGTGTGATATAAACATTTATTCTATCTCAAATATTGAGCAGAGATCAAATTATTCAATGCATATAAGATACAACAATAATTCGTTCCCAGAATTATGTGTTACTCAATTTTCTTTTAATGCTATACTTCTTTACACTTTTTTCACCTTGATATTTTTTTATACTAGCACTCACCAAAAGTAGAAGGTTCTTTTTTTTTTTTGGCCATATTGCAGGACATATTCCCAAAGAAATGAATAAGCTTACAAAGCTGAAAAACATGTTCATGGGTATGAACAAGTTGTCTGGTCAAGTACCAAGCATTGGAAATTTGATCATGCTTGAAAATTTATATCTTGCAAGCAATAACCTCCAAGGTACATGTTCAACGAATCGTAATTTGTTACTATTGTTTTTCTTTTATTTTTTAACGATCTTAGCATCATCATAAACAACTTTTTTGAGTGACAATAATTTTTGGAGTAGAATCCCTTCAAATATAGTCCAAGTTGACTATACTTCATGTTTAGGAGATAATACTTTAATAAGTTCATGCCACAAAAGAAATCAAGGGCCTATTTTTTTAAGATTAAGTGATTTTTAAATAGTTTAAGGATTTTGAGCTTTTATGTTTGGTGAATATCAAATAAATCCCTTTAAAATAGGAAAATCATAATTTGACCTCCCAAAATGATATAATGATAATGAGGTCCTAAAGGACTTTTTTCAGATTGAATTTCTATATGAAATTACTTTAGTATCTATTTGCAACTAGTTTTATATGGTTCACAAGTTTAGTATAAATGTTTATAAATCTAGTTTTATTAATGACTAAAACAAATTAAAAAAATCTAAGGTTTTAAAAACCAAACCAATTATCAAATTGGATGAGGTACTGGTGCAAGGATCAATGGTTCAATTGTGATCTAACCATGGTCCAACTAGTTATAATTTACTTAGGAGTACATACATACAGATATATATATATATATATATATAAACCGTAAACTAAATTCATTTATATTAATAAAAATAATATTCAAATAAAAATATTAATATAAAAATATCATTAATTATTTATAAAAATTTCTTTTAATTTTGCTTATAATTATAAGAATAATATTTTAGTAAATTTTATTTCATTTCTTCTCTTTTCTACAAGAATAGATAACATTTAATAAGATGCTTTTGTAATTTTGTTAAAAAGTACTCCCTCTGTCTTAAAATATAAGAAGCTTTTAGGAAAGATTCATCGTCCCAAAATATAAGACACTTTGTAAAAATAAGGTTTCATTAATAAGATTTTTTTAATATTACCCTTTCATATATTCTCTCTTTTTAATATTCTTTCATCAATGGAGTATTAAATGAAGGGTATTTTTAAAAGTTCATATTTTGTCTTAAAAAGGTAAAATTATAAAGTCTATTTAATGAGTTTTATTGGTACATTAAATTTTATCTCAAAGTGTCATGTAATTTGGGACAGAGGGAGTAACATTTAATAATATTAAGATGACTTTTTTTTTTTTTTACCCAAACTTTTACACTGCTTTAGAAATAAATATTTTTATCTCCCTCCCATTCCATCATCCTGCTTGCTGCCACTAGTCCTAATTTTGATAACATACTAATAATAATAATAATAATAATAATAATAATAATAATAATAATGTCTCGAAATTAATGGCTGTGCACGCGAAGAGGGGAGAGGATCAGCCTATTCCATTCGTCTTCCTCTTTCTTTTGTCTCCGCCGTGAGTTCTCTTCATTTGCAGGACATCGGCTTTCATACCATCTGAAAGCTTTAGGGTGGATCTGGTAGTTTTTCGCACTTTGAAATGCATTTAAGGCAGTCATTTGCTCCAAATATATTCTTTTCTTACCTTTTTTTTTTTCCCCTTGTGAAATCCCTTTCTTTCTTCATCTCTGTCTTTCTTTGGCCTCTTTCGTTCGTTGCTTTTTCCTTTTTTTCAGATCTAGTTTTTCAAACCTTCCAACTCGTTTGAGCCGTCGATTTTTGCAGTATATTTGGTTTGCTGATCGGGTTTCTGGTTTTTGACCGGTTCTCTTGGCGGTAGGTTTACTGGTCTTCACCGGACCACCAGCTGGTTGCCGGTCCAGCTAGTTTAGTAGGCTACTTTAGTCCATTTATTAAAGCGTTGAAAAAATCACAAATTTTCATTAGCAATTTCCTTAGTTTAGCAATGTTAAACTAATTTTATATAGTTTATAAATTTAATATAAATATTTATAAGTCTAGTTTCACTAATAATTAAAATAATTTAAAAAATTATCACTTTTTATTAATAAAATTCAACTAATTTTATATGGTTTCCAAATCTGAATAAGTGTTAGTTTCATCAATGACCAAAATGATTAATAAAATGCAAATGATACTAAAGTAATTTCACATAAAAAATTTAATCTCTAAGAAATCATTTGAAATCTCATTATCATTATCACATTTTATGGGATTAAATTATCATTTTTTTTATTTCAGAGATATTTATCTATCATTCTCCCCTTTTTTTTTGAGCTTTTTTTCATTAAAAAAATTACTTATTTTTTCAAAAAAATCTATTTCATAAGATTTTATGGTGACTGTTTAAACTTTTAAAAATAATTAGAATATGAAAAAAGTAAATTTCTAATTATTTTGATAAATAATTTTGAAGAACTGTCAAAAATAATATTATGCAACAGATAGAAGAGAATGTTGTAAAAAATGAAGAGATACACATAGATATATTATAAAATTTGAAAATAATTAAATATTAAATTATTTTTATTAAAGAGAAATATTGAAGAACTATAAAATCTAAAACTAACTAACTAATAATCAATTTTTATTATTACAATCAAACATTAAATAATGTTTTTTATAAAATCTTTATAAATAAATTTATTTTTATAAAATTTTTAAACTCTTTAAAAATTACTTATTTTTTAACCTTAAATAAAGCCCTTTATAAAGAAAATTATTTGGAATGGATTTCATAAAAAGAAAATATTTATTCTATGTTTAAAAATTGTTTATTATTTACTTATTTTTAGATTTTATGATATCTTTATGGATATCTATTTAAAAAAATTAATTTTCTCCCTCCACTAAAAATTATAAAATATTTTTTGAGAAATTAGATATTAAAAAATATAAGATATTCTGTTAAATAATGTGTAATCCACTACATTTTTTTTTCAAAGTTCCTCTATTGAATAAATAACGTTGTATTTTTTAGGGTGAAATATTCTGTTAAATAAGCATAAATATTAAAAGATAGTATTTGTTTAAAGACAAGTACCTACTTTATTGAAGGGTAAAATTCGATTAAAAATACCTCATATTTTTTAATAGAGGAAGTATTTTTTGGTTATCATAAATTTTTATACTGTTTTTGGTGTACCGTGTATTTTTATAATATTTTTGTTCATCTATCATATTTGATTATTTTTAAAAATATTCAAATTAACTTTTTAAAACATTCAGAAATATGTTTTATTTTTCAGATTTTGATTATTTTTAAAATTTTAAACAAATATCATAAAATTTCACAAAATATTTTTTTAAAGGTAATTTTTCATTAAAAAAACTCTAACAAATGGGTCCCAAATTAAATCTTCTAATTTAATCTAATAACTTCTTTTTACGGGATTCTTAAAAATCATAAAATAAATTCATTGGCTTTCATTATGTTTTATTTTTAAAAATTAAAATTCTTCTTTGTCAATTTAGTAAATTATATTTATATAATATATATATATATATAGAAACTCAACAGACTAGATCAAAATTGTTTACGAAAATAAAAATAAAATTGGCGGAGGTGAGAGGCGTAGAATTACAACGTTTTACGCAACAATATTCACAACATTGTGATTTTATTGTGTTGTTATATTGCAGGGGATATTCCCAATGAAATAAGCAATCTTACAAATTTGAACAGCATAGACTTAAGTGGTAATCAATTGTCTGGTCACATACCAAGAGGCATTGGCAAGTTCACTTGGCTTCAAGAGTTATTTCTGGACAACAATAACTTCGAAGGTATACTTCTATCAAATAAATGCTAGTTCTGGTAAATTTTCTGTTAATATGATATTTTATTCACGAGCAATCATAATAGAGTTATTATTGTTCAGTTTTTTTAACCACATTGCAAATGGAATTTTCTTCATAGGAAACATTGAGAATCTCTCAAATCCAAAATTTATAAACATAGATGATGATAACAAGCTTTCTGAGCATAAATTAACCTTAAACATAGATGATGATGATAAGCTTTCTGAGCATTAATTAACCATAAACGGGTACTACAAATTTGACTATTCTTTTGTTTTATTATTTAGGTTTTGACCCACAACTTTCACAACTTGTATACAAATTTAACAGGCTATGTCACCAACTTCAATTTCTTAATTAAAATATATTTGAACTGCACATTATATGTTGGGATTGGTAGCAATTCAAACCATATATATAATTAAGTAAGAATAATAGCTAGGCCTCAGAATATTAAATTAATGACAATTAAGTGTAATGTACACCTAGACATTACTCATGATCACTACACAATCACAACATACATCAATAATTAGGGGTCATTAATCTCTCTTAAACTTACTGTAATCACAAAAGAGTTAAATCAATTAATTATTCAAAATACAAATGAAAACCTTTGAGATCCCAAAAACCCTTTAAAAATGTTATTTGAACTCAAACTTAATTATTTCTAGAAGTATAGGAAGCATGGAAAGCAAAGGAAGCAAAACATAGGAAAATGGGAAGCATGTGGCACAAAAAGGGCAATTTGGCCTCTATGCTATGTGTCACAACTTGTGCACAACATGCCACAATGCACATGCCATTGTCATGATAGCTTTTCATGGCAAACTTTAGACATGAGCTATTTTTGCATTAGATGTTTGATTGGAGTGATACAAGCATCCACGCGAAGCATATTCGATAGTCTAACTAATTGTACAAGTTTCATTATGATTTAAAATTATATGTAAAATTTGGACACCTAAATGCAAAAAGTCAAATTTTATAACCGATATAGGGCATCTAAGTGATCAAATATCAAAACTTATACTATACCAACTCAATTTAGGGCTTCAACCCAATTCAATGAACCAATATACACCTAATTAAACATTAGATACATAGTAAAAAATCAAACACAAAATTTGGTCACTTAATACTCGATTTCACCCCAATAGGGCCAATACCAAAAAATCATAAACAAACACTATTTAGCCTTATCATTGCCACATAATACACTAATGATATGTTTTGATACATATGGATTTTGATTTAGATTTGGATTTGAGCCAAATCCATTGTTTAGGTAGTTAAAAATGAATGGATTTGGATTTGCCTCAAATCCAAATCCATGTTCTACCTCAATCTTTTAATTTGAAATCCATTCTAAACACCTATTATTTCAAATCTAAACTTAATCTCTTTTGTACCTTGTCCCAAATCCATGAAAGCTTGATCGGCCCACTAAAGGTAATTGGACCAGACCGTCAAAGCTGATGAAACCAAGCTACCGCCATTGACTAAGACCAAATTGCTATTGCTGATTGGGACTGCACCATCAGTGCTAACCAAAACTAGATGGCCAACTTCTATTAGAACCAAACCACTCATACCAATAAGGATCGGAGTGCATGTCATAATCTAGACCTCAACTTCCATCATGGCTAGACGGTTGTACCAAAATAGTTGACTTTCACGAAGATCAAATCAATGGCAATAACCTAGACTACACAGTTGACTTTCATCGGATTAGACTGACGGCGATGACTGGGACAAGATGACCAACTTTCACTAGGACTAGGTGGCCTATTTGGACAGGGATTAGATGACCTCATGCAATTAGGATTAGATCACTGGCACTGATCATGACAGGATCATTAACGGGTCCGATACCAGTTAAAGTTGCTAGTTCGGCCCAGACAAAGTTGTTGACCTAGTCTTGGTAGGAGCTAGTTTTTTTATCATAGTTGCAAGCAAAATCCTGATCATCTATAGAGATTTGGTCTCGATTACCTCCCGATAGAAGTTGATCATTTGATCCCGATTGTCACCATCATTTTGATCCTGGCGAAAGTCTGGAGTCTGGTTCCAATGGAAGTTAGTCATCTCGTCCTAGTTATTGTTAGTGCTATAGTCCCAATCAACATTAATAGTTTGCTCCCAGTGGAAGTTGCCATTTAGATCGTCGAGTTTGATTAGAAACAAACTGCCGACGTCATCCATGTTTTTTTAAAATTCAAATATAGAATTTAAAATTTAAAATTTTACTTTTAATCCAAACAAAGGATTTTAATATTATAATTCAACATTTTTTATGTCATCCAAATGAAGAATTTATAATCTATGAATTTCAAATATGAGATTTTAAATTCAAATTTTCAACTTATATCGACCCATCTAAACACAACCTAAATTTACATTGTCATTACATATACACACGTCCCTTGCACTTGTATTAGTATTTTAGCACTTCACCACAAAAATTGTCACATATTCACTATATATAAAATGTTTGGGCTAAAATACAATATAGCATAATATAATACAAGTACAATAAACAAAATGACATGCACTCCTAGTTGGCAACTCATAATATCATATATTTAATTTTATGTACACAACTCATAATAAAATTGGACATTACAAGTGCAATTTAGCCAATCCGCTAGTCCTTGCCTGATTCCTTCCCTTGCTCAATCTTATTGTAGAACTTATAAAATAGTAATCATGGGATGAGATAAAAATCTTAGTAACTAAAATAATTTACATGATCAATTATCATGCCAAGTCATAAACAAGTATTAAAGTGTACAATATCACATACATAGGTAGAAATATTATTACTATAATATAATGTATGATCACTACCCATTCGATCCTCCAATACTCCTAACTAAACTTGAGGGCTATTTCACAAGACTAGATTACATATCCAATTAAAGCTTAGCATCCATTGTAGGGCTATCTAGATTGCATCTCATAGATGATAAAAAGCATAGTCTCCAATACCACACCTATTCGAGCACTAAAGAGAGAAATTCTCCAACACTGCATACTTTCAAGCATTAAGGATAATATATGCTACACCTGGCATCCTGATGTGTTTGTAATGTCATGTGAACTTAATCTCCACTATCTTCACTAGGGTGAACTCCCACCCTTAGTAACTTTCATATTACCACTAGGTCAAATACATATTTCTTACCAAAGAATTATAATCTTTTCACCATATATTCATATACACATTCATCACCATATTAACATGCATTGATATGCACTTTCTAAATATATATAATTAACTAATGTTTTTACTACCCACTTAAAAAAATACAATTTCATATGTCAATACTCTAAATTTTTTCAAATACTTTACTTTTGCAAAACACACACACACACACACACACACACACACACACACAAGCAGCCCACTTGTGTTTGAACTTGGCAAACGTGGTAATGTGTTTTAGATTTACCACCATTGTTAAAAGCACAAGTAAGATTGTCATCTATAGTGAACCTTGTAGTTACAAGTATCATGGGTAATTACTATAGTTAAATAGAGAAAGCAAGCTAGAAGGAGGTGTTAAACAATAAATTATGAAATTAAGAAAGGCAATGAAGTTATTATTTCTGTGCCCTTGTTGCTCCTGTTGTCGGTTCTTGAAACCCTAGAAATGGAAGGTGAATGCTAAGGAAGTAAATAAAGATAAGAAAGTGTGAGACTAGGATAAATACACATTAGTATAGTATTACTGAATTAATCTATATATATAACCATCAAGTGCAATCAAGCAAATAACTTCTACAAACCAATAAATAATGTAAATTATCCAGTTGCATTAACCCTTTTGTTGCTAAAAGGGTTACTTGTGATACTAAATCTCTCTACTACATCTTGAACCTTTAATGAGGTTCCATGCACCTTAATCAACTTGACATAAATACTTTTTAACTAAATTTAGCTACCTAGAATCATTAACTCACATTATCTTCATTTAATAACTAATAAGCTAACCTATGTACATTTTCATCTCCTATAGTTTTACAACTTCAAATCTCAAGCTAGGGTTCGTCTAATGCATTTTAAACAACAACTAGGCTTCATATTAACACTTATCCAAGGTTAAAAAAATTAAATCAAACTTCTAGAGTCTCATGAAATCCTTAAAACATGAACTTATAGCTTCATCAATTTAGGACAACTATACCCACTTTCAAATTCCATGTAAGATATAATGCAGAGGTACACAGCTAAAAAAAAATTTAGTGAAGGATGGATCCCTCGCTAAATGACATATATCTCTCTATAAATGGAATTTAGCAAGGGATTTTGTTGCATAAAAACAACCTTTCTAAATTTAGTGATAAATACATTCCCTCGCTAATTTAGCAAGTAATCCCTCGCTAAACATGCCCATATTTAAAAATGGCCACCTAATGCCACCTCACTGATGCCTCTTCATCAGCTATGTGTGGGTCATCTCATGCCATGTGACCTATATCCTATGCCTCATCACCTACCATATATATGATAAATCATGCCATGTCATCTTCCACCTCACACCACATCACTTACTCACTACTGTGTCACATATTTATTATGTTTCTACTATGGCCAACACTTGAATCCTTGACCTTCCTACCTTCCCTGAGTCTTCTTTGCTAGTTGAATTGAAATGTACCTACAATCATTATATAAGAAATTAAATGTATGTTATTTAACTACACAAATATATCAAATAATATATTATAAAAACACACATGTGTAACACTTGCCTTGAGAGTTAACAAAAACACACGAACCAATAAACTAAGTGTGGCTAAGGAGTTGATCCTAAAACTAACTTAGAAAACAAACAATTTAAATTACCGAACAATCTATACAATAGCAAAACATACCTTTAAAACCTCTTAAAAAAATTTGAAGGGTTACTATATAGCACATAGAAGGAAATTGGGCAAATAGGGTAACTAATTGCTATCATGATAGCATTAATTTGCTG